ACCCACCGTGAACCTGGCCAACCTAGAAGGACCAGAACAAAAAGAGAAAAATATAACGGCACAGCTATCCAAAGAAAGGCTTTTTTTTTTTTTTAAGTACCAATAAATTCCTATTTCCCACTCAGAAATCAGACTGGCCTTCTTAGTTCTCAGTCTGGTCAAAGGACTTGACCAGCCAAACGTAAGCAAAGGGTATTCTTAGGTAGCATCTTTCAATGTCATGTTAGGTTGCTGCATTAGCTATCCTCTAATTTTAACAAGTAGGGTCCTTCAACTTAGTCGAGATTAGAGAAATACAAATTATAACTACACTTTAATACCATTTCAAACCCATCCAACTGACAAAGATCTAAAAGCTTGACCGTATACTCTGATGCACGGCTATGGGAGACAGGCCCTCTCGTACACTGCCTGCGGGAAGGGAGAGGGGATTACAACACAAACAGGAGGAAATTTGGCAACATCTATCAAGATTACATACACATCTACCCTTCATTTCAATAATTCTTCTTCTAGAAATTGACCCTGAAGATATACCTCTAACAAAATGGAGATATGTAAGCACAAGGCTACTAATTACAGTCTTACTTCTTATTGCAAAATATTACAAACTACCTGAAAGTCCAGATACAGCAAACTAGATCAATGGACCGTGGTGCATACATAGAACGGAGTGCTACACGGCTGGGAAAAGAGCAAGGCTGATCTCCATGACTGATAACAAGTGACTTCCAGGAGATATTATTAAGAGAAAAAAGCAAAAGAGCAAATACAGTATACTACCTTTTGTGTAAGACTGAAGAGGAAATAATACACACACATTTGTTGGTCTCTACAAAAGAAATACGGAAAGGGTAACCCAAACCAATGAAGCCGGGAACCCACAAGAACAAAGGAAAGGGTAGAATGAGCGTGGGAGGGAGGGGCACTTCTGCGAGTGACCTTTCTTGTCTGGCTTTGACACTGAGCAGCATGTGGGTGTCCTACGCATTCAAAAAAATAAAATTAAATCAACAAGGGTGGGAATAACGAACTGAATGCAAACTAAAGCAAATGAACCCAACTGTCTTCCAAATGAATAAAAGAAAGATGTTGAAGGAAGAAGAGAATATCTAAGAAACTGACTTAGACATTATCTGACCTGATGCCCTCCATCTCGGATGAGGTAGCAAGAACTGCTACCATTGAAGGTAGTATTTATTAGTACTTTAAAAAAGAAAAGTCACTGACAAGAGGTCTTTAATGTTCTTCAGATATATAGTTTATATTTAGCCAGAAAGGCCAATTATGACTTCTGGAGGCCAGCAGGATAGTTTCCTCCCACTTCTGCCTAGTGCCACCTCTGATTTAAATTCAATTGGCTAATGTCTTCAATTTGGGGCTTAAAAAAAAGAAAAAGGAAAAAATAATAAATTCAATTGGCTTCAGGTTTCCACCATTCGAGCCACTGGTCTGTTTGTAGTCACCATGCTTTTCTAAACCTTGGCTAATACTGTAATTGCAATTATACATAATCGAAAAATCAGGAAAATGGCAACAAAATTCTGAGGTCCCCAGTCACAATGGTTCTGCTCAACTCTGTTGACCAGGACACAGAAAGCATCTGGCCTCAGAAACGCAAAATCACGATTAGGCAGTGCCATAGTTTGAATGTGTTCCCCAGGTTCACGGATTGGAAACTTAATCCTCCATGCGACAGTGTTGGGAGGTGTTTAGGTTTGAGGGCTTTGCCCTCATGAACAGATTAATGCCACTTTAAAACAGCCAGGGGCAGCGGCTCATGCCTCCAATCCTAGCACTTTGGGAGGCTGAGGCAGGAGGATCACCTGAGCCCAGGAGTTTGAGGTTACAGTGAGCTATGATGACACCACTGCACTCTAGCCCAGCAGGAGGGCAAGACCCTGACTCTAAAAAAAAAAAACAAAAAAACAGGCTCTTGGGAGTGGGTTCCCTTTCTTGTGTTCTTGGCCCTTCCACCATCCACCATGTGCTCACTCAGCAAGAAGGCCCTCACCATGTGCCAGCACCTTAGTACTGGACTTCCTTGCTTCCCGAGCTATGCGCCAACAAATTTCTGTTCATTGTAAATGACCCGTCTGTGGTGTTCTGTTACAGCAGCACGAAATGGACTGAGATGGGCAGGTTGGTTGCCTGAGTCTCTGCTTCCTCCTCTAGAACAAAATCTCAGTCCTAACCTCACTAGATTACAGAAAAGGTAAAATATAATGGGTGAAAGTGCTTGTCCGCACACATACAATGATTATTACATACACCCAGAACTACCCTGGGGGTCTCTCGAGGGTTGTTAACGTGCGGGTCCTTGTATGGGCTTTTACTGGGACCCACAAACACCTTGCGACTACACAAAACATTGTGTTTGCATGATACACACATATGTGGTTGATCATCATATCCAATGATTTTTCTTAAAAAATGTACCTAACTATCAAATATTCCTAACCTAAAAAAGATTAATAACCACCAAGTCCCATAAGTCTTTTCATTAAGGTGGCTAAAGCTTCCTTAGATTGAGAAAGAACTCTATTATTTAGAGAAATTTCATGATGTGTTAAAATGAAGTTGTCCAGGAATTACGTATCTGAATCTGTATTCTAGATAGAGGAAACATACAGCAGTAAGTAGAAATTTTCACAACGGGCTTCAAAAACCCCTCGATGACCGTATAACGCATGAATGGTCAAAACCTGTACCTGTGCCAGCTCTCCCCACCCTCCCGCCTGCAGCAGACACTTAATCAGTAATGACTCCCCCAAATGCCTTCCCAGAAAAACACACCAGACCAGACTGTGACTATCGATCACTGGAGCTGGTGGGACAAAAGCCATCTGCTCTCCCTGAAGCCCAACCCGCCACCATGAGAACATGGAAAGAAGGTTCCCCTGGGACCCTCGTCCAATCCTTCTGTTCCACACACTAACTTGGACATATTTAACCGTCATTCAGCTTCAGTCATCCCCCAGAATTTACCTGACACGTAAAGGAGAGGTAGGAAACGCTGACAAATTTGTAAGGGCGAGAGAAAACAAATATTTTCCTTCTTGCTAGATCCTCATTAAAAAGCTAGATTTTTTTTTTAATTGCATATAACTCCCTGAAGGAAGAGAGAACTAATTGGCTGGCTAGGGGATTTGTACGACTCCAAGGAGGAAGAATGTAATGTTGCAAAACGTTACTAAACACTGGCGGGGATTTTACAAGAAAAATGGAACCAACTTTACAAAGTCCTATCAACCTCAAGTTCGTCTACATTTCAGAAAGTTAATTTTTTACTACTTTAAATATAATGGCAATTTTCTTTCCTTTTCTTGCACTATATATTTCTCATGTAAATATATTACGTAACTTATAAGCTACACCATATAATATATACAATAAAATACATATAGGGCTATAGTATAACCCAGTCGAATTTCTAATACAAAACCACCTTTCCAATTTGTGCCGAAATAAATTAAAAGTTTGAGCAACCCATAAACCAAGCAACTACTTGCAATATCAATGAGCTGCTCTTACCATCGCATAACATCCATCTGTTGTCAAGATTAAGACATCTATTGGAGAGGTGTGGTTGGCAACACAAATGCCTCCCTTCTGGGGTCTGTACTGCCTGAAATTAATTACAAACAATGGTCAATAGTAAACCTTGAAAAGTAGCCACTATTTTGCAGAACAGCATAGAGAGACTCATCTTATTTTTTTAAGCATATTTTTAAAAATGACGTTTGGCGGTACATGGGCCCATCTTTAAAAGGTTATCTCTAGGTGGTATGCTGAGAGTAGAGTGAGGGGCCCATGACTTTCCCTTTATAATACATAAGTTTTGCTTATTTAATCTTAAGTATTTTCATTAAGTACTCTCAGATTATTTTGATCTTCATAAATACAACTTTTTGTGGCTTCATAGTGATCTACGAGAAAATTTACCATGGTTTCCTCCCTCCTGGCCTCCTAGAGCAGAGGTCTGCAAACCTTTTCCTATCAAGGGCCGGAGAGTACATACATACTTCAGGCTTTTCAGGCCGGACAATTCCTGTCACAACTACTCAACTCTGCTGTTGCAGCACAAAGGCAGTCACAGATAACATGTAAATGAATGAGCATGGCTGTGTTCCAATAAAACTTTATTTACAAAAAAAAAAAAACAGACAGCAAGCCAGATTTGGACTTCAGGCCTGTGGTTTAGTTTGTCGATCTCTACCCTAAAGTTAAACCAGGATTTGACACCAATAAAGCAAAGTAGTTTTGTCTGGGCCTATCTATATGGAGAAGAAAAGGAACCGAATACATTGATTTTAGCATATCTCCCTTAAAATTAGAAGCAATTCTGTAAGTTATTAACTCCTCCATACAGAATTAGAGTGCGTTTTCTGCAGAAGGTGTCTCCTCCGATCACACCTCTGCCTGAGCAATTTCTTCTACTCCTTACTTCAAAACTCATAGTCCAATTACATCATATAATTTAAAACTTTTAAGGGGCCTTTTATGTTTGTAACACATGGTAAGCCAAATGACAAAATGTTTCCCTTCTACACATGAGAAAGAAAGATTCGATCAGTTTTCTTTAAAAAAAAAAAAAAAAAAAGGAAGCTTGTCCTAGAACTTTTAAAACAATGACATTAAATTTTAAAAAATAACATTGCGGTAACAGAAAAGACATTCAGAAGCATCAAAATCACTTTCGCGTAGCTATTAACTTTCCTCAGCTTCCTTTATTCTCTGTGATGGGGGGTGAGAAAAGCAGCATGCTGTTTTAAGGCCCAGGCGTGGATTTTAGATGTGGCAGCATTGAGAGCAGAGCACTGCGGGCTCCACGTCGAGTCCTCCTTCCGCCACCCCACGGGCCGGCAACATCGTAACTTCTTACAGCAGACAGACCCAGCTCGAAACCTAACTCTGCTGCTCACTCACTGCCTGACCCCAAACCACGAACCCCAGAGCGCCACTTCCTCCCCTGCACAGTGAGAAAGTGGAGACTGACACACGGGGATGACCTACCAGAAGC